CGTGACTGCCAACAGCACCACACCAGAGCCTCTCCCCCGTGTCGATCGGAGTAGTTTATTTCAGGTTGAGTCCTTTGAAGTGCTGCAGAGCGCGACTTTGGGTCGGTCTGGCTGGCGCCGAGTTCACAGCGAGTTCGACCGCAGTCGGTCGGAGGGTACCTATAGGGAGAGAGAGAGAGAGAGAGAGAGAGAGAGAGAGAGAGAGAGAGAGAGAGAGAGAGAGAGAGAGAGAGAGAGAGAGAGAGAGAGAGAGAGAGAGACCATTTATTCAATAACAAACAGATGAATATAACAAATAAAGTATGCAATTGGCGCAAAAGTGCTACGCACTTAAATCATGGCGCCGCTTGCTAAACAAGAAGTACTTAACGTATTTAGCAACAATAATAATGATGAAACACAATGGAACAAGAAGAACGGAATAAAAATATTTATGTTGCAAAACATGTCAAAGTGATCGTCGATCGACCGGACCGCCCAAGCCCCGTAACGCTCCACGACCCCGGCGGCACTGCAAGGCTGCCCCGCACCGCGCCCACTCGTCCGACCACGGTAGTGGTGAGGATGGGACTGGGATGTTGTATTTTATAAGCGATGGGTATGGATGATGAAGGATTGGACAGCGGTGGCAACCACACGGCCCTCCTCACGACTCAGGTCTGTACCGTGGATAAGGATGTCGAGTTGTTTGGAGGGGGCGACTTTCTAACGGCTGTGCCGAGTTCACTGGTCGGCCTGTCTCCGCCCCTCCCCACTTGATGACCTGACCCCGGGAGAGGAGGGGCCGGCGGCTCCCAGCTCCCACCCGAGTCAGTTCGCCGAACCGCGCCACACTGCATCCAACACAAACAGCTGAGTCGAGGTGAGCCGTGCCGTGCCCCCGACTGCTCCCCTCTAACATCAGGTGCCGCTCACTGCTCAGCCTCTCCGGAGCTGACCCAGCTCGGGAGTGACCCTCTATGACCTGGCATCAGGTCATCGCTTGAGAGCTCCATATCCGCGACAATTTCAAACGCTGGGTTTGGTACATCATTTCCGTGTCATTCATCACCCCACCCCACCTCTGCCCTGCCCCGTCCCGTCCCGCCCGTCCTGCCGCGTCCGCCTGGCGCCGTCGGTCCATCCGTCGCGACCGATGGGGCGCGCCGACGCACCTGGCGCCGTCGGGATCGACTGCACCTGTCTGCCGCCGCCGAACACACCGCTAATCGGCGCTGGGACGCCGGCCGGGCGGAGCGACAGGGGATCGGGACAGCCCCGCCGGCGCCGGCACTAAACTGACCCTGGCGCCGCCCCGCCGCCCCCGCCGCCGCCCTATCAGCCAATACCACAGCCGACATGAACTGCTTTGACAGCGGCCAGTGTGAACACCGCCGGAGTTCCCAGTCCGGATTGTACACAATGCAATACAACTGCGTGGGCGTGTGACCTTCGCCCGTTGTCGTTGTCACCGTGTACAGTTGATTGGGGCGGCAGCTGTATGAACTATACCGCGCCAGTTTCTGAGCGAGGTCAGACGTGTTTGCTCAGGTTCGCTGCCACCGGCGGGGTATGGGGAGTGGGGTGGAGCTGGGGCAACGGAGCGAGCCCGCCTCGATTCGTAAAGCGGACCAACCAGCCGGGCACCATTTGCGGAGTCAATGAGGTCGCACGGTGCCGCCGCTGCGGTCCGCGGAGCGGGGGGCAGGCCGGATCGCGCCGGGCCGGGTCGCCTCAGTCGACAGCCCTGCCAGACAGGATGTTTGTAAAGGCAATCGAGTCTGCACGGCCACCGGTCCGCTGCCGCCGGCGGGGCACCGGCGGGTGAAGTCAGGGACGGTACAGAGCGCGGTGTTGTAGCCTCGCCACGGTCATTGTAAGTGCACCGCGACTCGGTGGTGTCGAAAGAGTCAGCGCTCGAGAATAACCTCAACAATAAGAAGAATAAAATTTGAATACTACAAGGATTTTAAGTGAAGTTAATGAAGAAGTAGATATTTAGTTTAAGTTGCCTTTTTGTTTTATTTAAATTGTGTTACTTTAGCCCTGAAACCGTCAAAATTACTTTTAAACGAAGACGAAAGCCAGCAGACGGAAACAAGAAGACGAAGACACGAAGACGAAGACAGAAATAAAGAAGAAGAAATCGCGACTCGAAATACAAAAAGAACGAATAGAATACGACGACGACCATCGGCGATAAATAGTTGCCATTTCTCTTTAAGTTGGGCTTCAAGATCGGATATTCTCATTTCAATTTTATTGTTTGGTAAATGTCTCAGCGTAATATACGTCCAAGTCTCTTTCGTAAAAGCCTTTGATTTGGTTTCTTATAGGGGCACTGTACACAAGTTTAAAAGTAATTTGGTAACGTAACGTAACGCAAGGTAACGTAACGTTAAAAGGTCACGTAAGGCAAAGCTGAAGTAAACCAAGCTCAAGGCAATGCCAATCGCAAGAATAACCAATGAAATGACAACAAAAGCTATAAAGGAAGAACTCGAGAAGAGGGGGCTGTCAAGAAAAGGAAGAAAGGCAGAATTACTGAAGAGATTGAATGATGCAATGTCAAACGAGGAAATAAGGAGCGGAAGCTCAGAAAGGTCGCTGACAACGTCCTTTGATTCAGTCGCGTCATCGAGCATTGTATCTCAAATCGCTTCAGAAGTCGCCAGAAAGGCTGAACTGAAAATAAAAATGACGGTTTTAGAAGAAAAGCAGCGGCTGCAAATTCAAGAACTAGAACTACAAATGAAACGTGCCAAATTGGATTTCGAGGAACAAATAGCCGTTTCTGAGGCACGAAGGGCTGCATTAGAAACGCAAGCGGAGCAGGGCTCTACTTCGGCACAAAGTCTTAGGCATTCAAAAGATAGGCAGCAAGATATGCAGCATGACGCCGACCGAGCATTGAAGGATGAGGGATTGTTGGCGATAAGTTCTCTTTTGACGCAGCAAAAACGGAGCCTTTTACCACAATCGAAATTACCCTTTTTTGATGGAAATCCATTGGAGTATAGAAGTTTCATTCGTGCATTCGAGAGTAGAATTGCCGATAGGACGAACGATTGCTCCGAACGACTTAACTTTCTCGATCAGTTTACACGAGGAAGGCCAAATGATATCGTACGCAGTTACATGAATATCGACCCAGTCAAAGGATACGAAGAAGCTAGAAGAGCAATGGAACGAAGGTATGGAAACGAACACAAAATTGCAACGGCGTACATGGACAAGATCCTTCAATGGCCTTGTATAAAGTCAGGCGACGCGAATGCTTTTGATGATTTTGCAGTGCTGCTAAGAAGCTGTTTAAACGCAACTGAAGACATAAGTACGTTAAGCGAAATTAATCACCCGAAAAATCTGCAACACATAGTCAGCAAATTCCCATTTCTCTTACAGGAGCGATGGCGACGTACGGTGTACCATCTCAATGAAGAAGGAAAACAATCAAATTTGTCATATTTAGTAAAATTTGTGGAACAAGAAGTCGACATGATGACCGATCCACTATTCGGAACGGAGGAAATGACCGTGTTTGCGAAATCGAAGCGAATGACACAAGCAAACGAACAAACGAAATCGAAAAATCGCACGTCTTTCTCGACGAAAGCCGACGACGAACGCCCTCAAAATTCCGATGTTGTGCACGAACTTCAAGTAAACATGCATTGCTTGTACTGCAAAGGTGCTCACAGTATCGAGGCTTGCGAATCACTTTTAAGATTGCGAATAGACCGCAGACTGCAAGTAGTACGAGAACACCGACTGTGTTTTGGCTGTTTGAAGACTGGACACGTCTCAAAACAATGCCGCAGTAGACTTCAGTGTCAACATTGCGAAAAGTATCACCCGACTTTATTGCACGCAAAAAACGAATCCTCCGCGGAGATCTTGAATAAGACAGAACAAACGTGTTGTAACGTCAAAGAAGAAAATGTTGGGCCTGTCATGTCAGTCTTGCCTGTAATATTAACGGGTTCAAATCGGAAATCCTGTAAGACGTATGCTTTTCTAGATAACGGCAGTTCTGCGACTTTCATCACAGCACGTATAGCGAACAAGCTTGGTTTGATTGGCGATGAAACAACTCTTACTTTAACCACTATTCAGCAAGGAAAAAGCACTATCCAAAGTCATATTGTCACAGGCATCCAAGTATCCGACGTTGAAGACCACAACAATGTATACTTACCCCCAACTTTTGTAATAAAAGAAATACCGCTTTCGAAAAGTGACGTACCTGATCACAGTTTAACTAAAAGCTGGCCCTATCTCAAGCACGTAACTGTCCCTGAGGTTGAGGTAGATCACGTCGGTCTGCTTATAGGCTGTGACTGTCCTCGTGCTATGGAGCCGTGGGAGGTGATTAGGAGTCAAGATGGCGGACCGTATGCCGTAAGCGTCATTTTTTTTCCCAGCCGGAGCAATACACAGGGCGGCTCTGATTGGCTACCCGCTCCGGCCCGTGACGTCAGACCGAGAAGACGTCGTCACGTCACACAGGGATGCCGGAGAGCGCTTTCGATTCCGGAGATTTCATATCAAATGCCGTTGAGTTGATTCCGCTGTGTAATGAAGATGCGCAATGCACGGTGACTATAAATACACGGTGGCGCAATGTGTATTCCAAGGCCATATAACCGTGTATTCTAACCGGCGTAATGGTGGGTGAACGGAAGCATATTCTTTGATTGAGATAAGTATGAAGCGTATTGTTTGATGCGTATTTAGGATGTTGTAACAGCGGAAACATTTCTCGCGAGATATTTGACTTTATACCTTCCATGCTTTTTTTAATCATATTTATTGCGAACTTGAAAGACGCAGCGGAGCATCCCTTTCGGACTCCAACGGTCTGCATCAAACACACGTTTGGAAAATAGATGCCCTGCGCTACTTCCCACCGGGGGGGGGGGGGGGGGGGACCGCGTCTCTTCTATACACCCAGACATGTTGGAGTAAATATTCCACTTTGAAGATAAGAGATTTGGAGTAAGAAAACAGCTTTGTAGTTCGTGGTTATAGCTTAATGAAGTTCAAAAACAATCACGCTGAAACATTTAACGAATATGGGTGTCGCACGCCAACAATTAGCTTTTGACCGCCGCGCCAGTCGGATCGCCTTCCTGACATTCATACGCTGTCTCAGCAGCACCAGAACCACTGGAACATGTATTTACACATGCAAGTACCGTCTGGCATCACTGCTCGCATTCCGCCAGACCGTTATCATCGACGCGTTTAAAGCTTTCACTGTCGATCCGCATTGAGGATTACATCCTAACTGCCATCCTGAACACATTAGGCACTATGGGTTCGACCCACAGACACGTTTCGAGCCACACACTCCGCCAGGTTGTGTGGGGCTCGCGCTGGGGGCACTTCCTGAGAACAGAGTGATTGCTTCCCGACCTTCGTTGGCACGGCGTAGGCACCGTGGTCGCCAGTGGCGGCGTCTTTTTTGGGTCTCCCGGTGGAAACACGCCGCTTGCCACCAACTGGGACCTTCCTGCGAGCCACTGCTGTCGGCTGGACGCCTATCATCACGGAGCTTTTAAAGGAGCTTGCAGGGACAGCGCTGCAACCAGTGCCAAACTGGTGCAAACTTGATGCCCGCGAATTGTCCGTTTTCATGCACTCGTAGCGGCTAATGAACGTGGTCGTGCCCAGTGCGGGGCCGTACATACAGCTCTGGTGCACGCATGAGGTCAGCTTGCCATGACTCACACAGAGCCTGGCACCGAGCGATCAGGTCAGCTGTCCCGTCGCCCAGGTTGGTGCCCGCCTTCTCCTCGCTCGCCGGGTCAGGTTGCTGATCACCAGATGCGTCACTTCGGCTCGTGCTTGGCTGGCTCGTGCTGCTCGGTTCCCGCGGATCTTGCCTCATTGAGGCCAAAAACCCGCCGGGTGCTGTAAGACCTGTCAACAGGAGGACCATGACTATGAAAACACACTACACGAGCGGTCCAAACACCACCACCGCGCAAGATAGTACAAATAGATCATTTGGGCCAGAACATGGCCTCGAGAACGAGGTTATATCTCCATTGCCCCGCTAGGGGGGCTAAGAAGTATGTGTCTGACGAACAATGTACCATCTATGGTTTTCAATAACTTACCAATTTACTCGATTTAACAACACATTTCTTGAAATGCATGTGAACGGTGAAAATCCGACCTTTGACCTGACCTGTGACGGCATCGGTTTGACCTAGGTCAATGAAATTTGGTCACAAGGTGGTTCCCGGGTGGGGCTATCGAACGCCGTTTGAATTTTGAAAATCGGCCGGTAAATTCCCGAGATCTTAGGGGGGCCGAAACGGCCCCCCCCCTACGGGTGGTAGGGTCCACCGGTAGCCCTACGGGGCGCGGGTTAAGACAAAATATGGAGAAAAGTCTAGGTACACTTTTGACGTGGACACCCTGGCGTCAAAAATCGCTTGTATTTAAATCCAGCGTATTTACCTTGCCTTTGATCATCGCAACTGATATTTCCGCGCTGATCTCAAACCTACCGGTGGCGATTTGGAAGTACAGGTGACGCTGTTTCTCGCTGAGGGTGGGCAGGAAGTTTAGTGCCGCATCAGCCATGGCAGGCTCCTTTTGCAGAACAGCTGCCTGGTGCTTGCACGGCGCTCCAGTGGCTCCCACACGACACGTGCACAGCTCCAGATCCGTGTCAACGGTGTACGAGACACCGGACTTGGTGAAGCTGGACACCTGGTACGTGGACGATCCCACCTGTAAGAGTGAAAAACGAGACGAATATGAGAAAATCGATGCCGTAATGTATATTTTCTAAGCATCCGTCATTGTTCCAAGGAAATTAACCGAATACTAGGCTGCAGCCCAACCACAGGAATCGTTTAGCATGTGGTTACAAAACCCCACCCAATAAATGAATGTGGTAGTTTTATTAAAAAAAAAAAACGACCAATAAAAAGCCAATACAATCAGTCCTAAAATAAAAGCATCTCATGCTTAACATTTGATAGACCATTAATTACCTGCTCCACAGACGCCTTGTCGATGCCATCTGCCGACGGGCAGAAGCGCTTGCGTGCCGAGGCCGGCGTTCTCCCGTTTGCAGCGTCCAGGATTTTGCGCGAATACTCATTTTCGAGTCGGATCATCACGATGTCGACCAGCTGGGTGGTGTTGTGGACCTTCAGCCGCCTCAGGATCTTGTCCTTGATCACGCGGAAGGCCGCCTCCGTCAGATTGTTGGTGTGGTTCCCTCTGACCATCAGGTCCGAGCGGAAACACATGGCCCACTCGTAACGACGGATCCAGCGCTCTTCCATGTACTTTTCAAAGTGTCCGAGCTTCTTCCTCCGTGTGAAGGCGAGCAGCTCCTTCCAAGTCCCAACGCTGGCTGAGGTCGTGCTCAGTGGTGGCTCAGAGGAGGGCACGGACACGTTGCAACGCCTCCTGTCGCTGGTCAGCGGCGACACCGCTCTGCTTCCCACACAGCCACCGCCAGGCAGCCTGGAGGTGATGTGAGATGAGCAGAGCAGTAGCCGACACTCGGGGAAAACATTCCTCAGTGCGGCTCTGAGGGCAGCGCAGTCGTCCGTCATGGCCACCACCGGGCCACGTGCTCCTCGACCTCCGAAGCTCTGCTCATCCATCAGGGTCAACAGCAGCTGGAGCCCTGCCGTTAGGACGCTGGTCGACTCTGATGACGTGACGATGGCCCCCACGGGGAGAGCGCCGACCGGGCTGTGAGTCAGGAGGAGAAAGAGGCGACTGTCGCTACGGTCCATGTTGCCGGACTGTTGCCGGAGTCGACGAACCACATTACTGCGGCTCGAGGCCACAGCTGCGAGACTCGGCGCATCAGCGGCGTGACGATAGCCACCACCACGTTGTGGTCGTCCACCTCCAGAGCAGCACGACCGCCCGATGTTCCGTCGTACTGCTCTCCGAGGCAGCGAAGGCCGTCCAGCATTTTCTCTCCGGACAGCTCGCCATAGACTTTCTTGAATTCTGTCCGGTACAACCTGTAATTAAAGGAATTGTGGTTAGACTGATGGTATGTGTTACCTGTTGATTGGGAATGGTCGGGTAGCTACTTATGAGCTACGAACAGTTTAGGCGACGGAGGCGGAAGTGACGGAACAAAATTTAACCGGTGTTCCGAAAACATTTAAGAAAAGGGGCATTCCACGATAGATCGACCTAAGCCGTACACTCTCATATTTTATTTTTTGCTTAACCCGCGCCGTGCTGGTGGCCTGAACTTTCCGCCGAGTGCTGGGGGGCCGTTTTCAAGCCCCCCCCCCCCCGTCTAACTCGGCTCCTGGGTCACGTAGCGACACGCAGTTAGCGGCAATCGAAAGAGCGTCAAAAATAAGGAAGAAAACACTTCAGTCATTTTTAAGGTCAGGTCACCATAGGTCACCAAAGGTAAAATGTTGGCTATTTCAACATTTTGGAAACTGTCAAGCATATCCTGCACCTGACCTAAGCATATCCTGCAGGTTTGAATCAAATCGACGAAGAACTCTACTTTCCATGAACAAAATAGTGCATTTTTAGTGGTTTTGACTATGTACCGGTTTTTGTGACCTTGTAACCTGACCTCAGGTCACTGGAATCTAAAACTCCTAGGTCAAGTGTCAATTAATAGATTCCCCAAGTTGTGTCTGAAATTTGGTAGCGCTACGTGCCATAGCGCCCACGCTATCAACGAATAACACTCATTCAGTTGCCGCTAAACTAGTCCAATTTTCCCCTGACCTTGTACCGGTTTTTGTGACCTGGTGACCTGACCTGAAAAGACTGGAACTTGAAATTTTCAGGATAGGTGCGGAAAGATTGCCCCAGAGGGTATGCCAATTACGTTTTTTGCGAAAAACCTTAGGGGGGGTTGCATCTTGGTTGGTTGCCCCCCCCCCTCGCCGGGCGAGGGTTAATAAAAATTACAACATAAATCCGCCATCCTTACCGGTGATAATAGCCAACATCAGGACAGTGGGCGCGGTCCGCTGCGACGCGGTAGAAATCGTCTCCGGCCTCCTCTTGCGGAGCTGAGATGAGCTCGTCTCGCGCCTGCTCAGCCGAGTAGCCCATCCGGAACAGCTCCAGAAGACGGTCCCTGGTCGCCGTCGATACATCCCTCTCCTTCGGTAGTCGTAGTCGTAGTCGTAGTTCGTAGTTCGTAGTCGCGGTAGTTCGCGGTAGTCGTAGTTCGTAGGAAGCAGCTCCTGACAAGCATAGGATTACGATAGGATGAGGTATGTGGTAGGAACGAGGGAGTAAAAAGCCGAAGAAAAGCCGTAAATAGCGTCGATTTGTTGAACGGGAGTGTGCCAGGGTCCATTTTTGGGAGGATCTCCACTGAGCGGCGATGGGCGGTGTTCAAGTCTTTCGTGCATATCTACAAAACGAATTGAGCTAGGTACATGCAATTGTCTGAGCATTACTTAAACGTATTTCATACTGATAGCATTTATATCCTGTCAAAATAGTGGTTCTATCTTGAACATCAGCGGCTCCACGGCTAATTTTCGGGAGGGCCCCAATGACCAGCAATGGGGCCTGGGTTTACGGGGATAGGATATCTCCAAAACGAATTGAGCTAGCCGCTTGAAACTTTCAGACTGTTTTTAACACTATAATAAGCATATCCTGTCCAAGGACAGGATTATTGGTGACATTGTACCAAAATTTTGAGGTCCTAGCTTGTGCAGGGACGTGTTCAAGGCTAGTTTATCGAGGGTATTTTTCGCCCAACATCGAATTTTCTTACATTTGCCGATGATAGTTCTCAGGTTCGCATCGATGATCAATGGCCCTGTTGCACTTGCATGACAGTAGGCTACATGGCACAAGCATGTACTATGCTGCATAGGCCGATATCTGCATAGGCAGGCCCAGGGAAGGAACATTGGGAGGTGTCATTCCCCGTTCCATTGTACCTGAATCCGCCTATGCTAAGCATAAATGGGCAACTACATGGTATTCCAATGATGTGAATACCTTACAGACGTTTAGTTATGCTCATAAAACGTCAACAAAATACTTCAAAAATATTTACCCCATTTTTACCTTGATTTTACCTACCTGAAACCGCCTATGACTTTTCAAATTTCACAAAACCCACAACATATATGAAGGACCCATGGCCATGTATACAGAAACATATCCTAAAGTTTGCATCTAAATCGAATGAGAAACATCAAAGCTATTGCAATTATAAGGGTTGGGTGAAAATGCAAAATTTTTAGAATTGCTTGCCCTCTGAGACCCTATTTTCCTTTTTTTTCCAACTCTTCCAACTTCCAACTTTTTCCAACTTTTCCCAACTCTTTTGCATGAAACTAAAAGTTTACGTTGAGAGGAATTGAATGGTGTTTGTCCCATCAACATCAGTCATTTAGTTCCCGAGATCTGACGGGGGGCTGAATCGGCCTCCTCCACCATTTGACGTCCTCCAGAAAGCCCACCAGTAATAGGGTTAAGCACAGGAAGTTTTCGCTTAAGCGGGTGCAATATGGGTCTTCTCCCCTAATCCAGTGGCGGATCCAGGGGGGGGGGGGGCAAAATGGGCATTTGCCCCCCCCCCCAAAAAATGGCATAATTTAACATTACGCCTATGGACGATGCATGGAAAAAATCGATAAATTGTTATGGTTTGCCCCCCAAAAAAACTCTGAGCTGGACCCACCTCTGCCCTAATCTCAAGGAAAGTGAATGGATAAAACAGACAAAAGGAGGTCAATTTATGTACCTAACTTTTACTTACCGTAAGATTGCAGAAAATAGTCGAGCTGTCCTTGCTGCATGGGCAGAGCTTAATATCAGCCATTTTCAGACATGTATCCTGAAAAATGAGGAAGTTCAACTGTAAAGTCAACTTCAACTGTGAAGTAAACGTTCAACCTTTGGGGTCAGGGTTGTAAACGACTGGAACATCCAACCGGCATCAATCATCACATCTCGCACAGTAAACGCCTTCAAAGCAAAGCTTGACGCTGACTGGACTCACCTTCACTACACAATTCACACAAATGACTCAGATTGAAGCAGAGTCACAGATTAGGAGCTCGATAAAGCAAGAGTCCTAAAGGCCAAGTGGCCTTCTAAATTCTCGTACATCGTAAGTAAGTATTTTCCATGCAAGGGAGAGAAATACCTATCAACTGAGCGCCGTGTCTGGAACACTACGCTTCTCAGATTGAGATTCCATGGAAAATAATATAAATCTGGTCATGAATCATGATGAATAGTGGACACAACTTAATACTTTTCATTATCCACTCACCTTGACCTGTGCCCCATGCATGGAAGACCGCTTGAATTTTGAAATGAAATTGAAATGGGCATCAACGAAGATAGAAAGTGGCAATCCCGGCGTAAGCACCTCTTTGCATAAAAAAATAACGTAACAAACATTGTATCTGGCCAGTTAGCGGTACCTATTTGAAATCAAGCGCTTCAAACTCACCCGAAAATGACCCGAAACGAAACGAACCCGAACGTGTTTTATATTGATATAATTGGTACCTTGCCCGAACCATGGCTAAGGCGAAAACAAAACAAAACAAAACGCACCATGGCGCAAAATCGGATGCAACTCCGTAGGATGCGAACGCTGTTGCTACCCCTGATGCATTGTGGGTCCTGACGTCACGGGCCGGAGAGGGTAGCCAATCAGAGCCGCCCTGTGTATTGCTCCGGCTGGGAAAAAAAATGACGCATGCCGTAAGAACAATCCTTGGCTGGACGATCGTAGGACCCAGAATTCCACTTACCAGTAAGAATAACCATTCAAAAATTGTACGACGAACCGACGCGAACAACGACAAGATCGAGAGAATGTTCATTGACATGTACAACACCGACTTCATAGAGAAAAACGACAGCGATTCTTTGTCACGCGAAGACAAATTGTGGGAAGAAAAGGTAAAAGAAAATATCGTACTCCGGAACGGTCACTACGAAATCGGGTTGCCCTTTAGGAATGCACCGATAGACTTGCCGAATAACAGAAAAATTGCCGAAAAACGAGCAGAGGCATTGAAGAAAAAATTTGACGCCAGTGCAGAAGTACACGCGCGTTACACCGCTTATATGAGACAGCTCTTAGACGATGGTCACGCGGAAGTAGTTCCTGTAGAAGACAAAGACACCTCTACGAGGCGACAATACAATGTCTGGTATTTACCACACCATGCCGTAACCCATCCCGCCAAGCCCGAAAAAAAACGAGGGTAGTTTTCGACTGCTCCGCTAAATACGCCGGTGTTTCGTTGAACGATAATTTGTTGCAGGGACCAGATCTTATTAATAGCCTTGTTGGCGTTCTTTTGCGCTTCCGTCAAGAACCAGTCGCCTTTATGGCAGATATAAAGGCTATGTATCACCAAGTACGCGTTCCAGAAGAGCAAAGAAACTATCTGAGATTCTTGTGGTGGCCCGATGGCAACACAGAGAAGCTACTCGAAGAGTATCGAATGAAAGTGCATTTGTTTGGGGCGATTTCGTCTCCCAGTTGCGCAAACTTTGCTTTGCGGAGAACAGCAGACGATTTCAGTGCCATGTTCGGTGGTCAAAAAACGCAGCGTACAATCGACAATAATTTCTACGTGGACGATTGTCTTAAATCCGTAGCAGATGTAGACGACGCCATTGAATCGATAAGAGATTTAAGAGACACCTGCAAAAGAGGAGGTTTTCACCTTACCAAGTTTGTCAGCAACGAAAGGGCAGTCATGGCATCAGTTCCAGAAGAAGATAGAGCCACGGATCATGAAACATTGCGAGTAACACAATCGACGTATGCAGAAGAGCGTGCTCTGGGAATTTTATGGAATACGGAAACGGACACGCTCAGCTTTAAGATAAAAACAAAAGAAAGACCGACAACACGACGAGGCATGCTCTCAACAGTGAGTTCCATTTATGATCCTCTGGGATTTGTTGCTCCGATTTTATTGAAGCCAAAGGCGTTGTTACAGCAGCTTTGTCGTTTGAATTTAGCATGGGACGACTTACCCTCAGATGACCTGCAGAGGAGCTGGTGTTGTTGGCTTTCTACATTACATAGTTTGCAAGAATTTAGTGTTCGGAGGTGTTATAAACCCGAAGGTTTCGGCCCCATCGTGACGAGTCAAGTTCATCATTTTTCCGACGCTAGTGAGACCGGTTACGGCGCGGTATCCTACTTAAGACTTCAAAACCAACAAGGGAAGATTCACTGTTCATTTATCATCGGAAAAGCTCGAGTTGCTCCAGTCAAAGCAGTTACCATACCGCGCCTGGAATTAGCTGCAGCCACCGTTGCCGCTCGTTTGAGCGCTGTAGTTAAGCGTGAGTTGGAAATTCCTGTAGACAGCGTGACATTTTGGACAGATAGTACTACTGTGCTTCGATATATCAACAACACAAGTAGCAGATTCAAGGCGTATGTAGCGAACAGAATAGGAACGATCCTCGATCTTTCTTCTCCTGGACAGTGGCATTACGTAGGGACACATTGCAATCCGGCCGACGAAGCATCGAGAGGGTGTTCCGTGTCTGCCTTTTTTAAGTCAAGATGGATACAAGGTCCGCAATTTTTGTGGGAAACAGAAGATAAGTGGCCAAAACAGCCAATAGCATCGCTGGAAGTCGAACTTGGTGACCCTGAAGTTAAGAAAAGCGCAAAAGTTGGAGTAATAGCGACCGAATCGAGCCCCACTGATCGTTTGCTAGGGAAATACTCCGACTGGCACCGGTTAAAACGCGCAGTGTCGTACATGTTAAGATTCAAAAACTTACTTAAGAACGCAGTTGCCGCTCGCCAGACAGAAAACTTCCAAAGAGAAGACGCGACAAAGTCATTACAGGTTGAAGATCTAGAAAACGCGGAAATGGCGATAATAACGTATGTACAAAGTCAGGCATTTTCCAAAGAACTCCATTTTATGAAAGAATATCGCTCCAGTTTAAAGGGACCCTCCCACCTTAACATTAGATTTGAGTTGAGATAGCCAAAATGGGGTCCCTGGCTCACAATTACCGGTTTCGGCACTCACAACATCGAGAAATGCCTTAAATCGGAAATATTGAATTTCAAAATTGCAGCATTTTGATTCAGAGGGGGTAATGCTTAGGAATACCCCTCTGAATGTGTGACGTTAGCGCAAATATCTAACGATTTTTAAATGTTTGACTAAAACGTTTTGTAGCACGCAGTGGTATATGCTGTTTGCGCGCAACATCTGCCGCAAACGCCGCACTTCTAAAATAAAGTCGCTAGAAACAGCGGAGATCCCAAAAAGTAGATCCAAAAACAACAGCGGAGATCCAAAAAGTAAACAAAAGTAAAAGTCTAATATCTTGAAAACCGGTGAATATTTTTCGGTGAAATTTGGTAAATATTCGTTTTTGCTCTTTCTGAACCGAGCGACATCACTTTCATACCAATTTATTAACTTTTTTGAAGGTGGGAGGGTCCCTTTAAAGAAGTATCAGCTTCCTCGCTCTAGCCCATTGTATCGTCTTAACCCGATTTTAATGAACGGGCTTCTTGTCATCGGAGGACGCTTGCACCAGGCTGACCAGCCGTTCGAGTCACGGCATCCAGCTATTATTCCGGCCAAATCTCACGTAACTGACATCATTATTGACCACGTTCACAAAAAGGAAGGACATCAGGGGCGCCAGCACGTACTGTCCTGCATCCGAGAGAAGTTCTGGATACTTCATGCGAACGCCAACGTACGCCGAGTTCTTAAAGACTGCACAAAGTGCCGTCGGCTACAAGGCAGACCATTGATGCAGCAAATGGCCGATCTGCCGCCTGATCGGGTTAGGCCCGATTTACCTTTCTCGTCGGTCGGCGTGGACTGTTTTGGCCCTTTTTATGTCAAACGGGGGCGAGGCAACGCAAAACGATACGGAGTCCTCTTTACTTGCCTCAGTATACGAGCTGTTCATATAGAGATTGCGCAGTCTCTCACGTCTGATTCATTCATTAACGCATTGAGAAGATTTATTTCTAGGAGAGGAAACGTGAAAGAAATTCGCTCAGACAACGGAACAAATTTTGTAGGAGCACAAAGAGAGTTACAAGAAGAGATCACCAACTGGAACCAACAGCAGATTGAAACCTTTTTACTGCAGCGGAACATAAAATGGACTTTCAATGCCCTTAGTGCCTCCCACCAGGGGGGCGTCTGGGAACGACAAATCCGCACAGTCAGAAAAATACTGAATTCTACGACATCTAGTCAAACGCTTGACGACGAGAGTCTAGCAACTCTCCTTTGTGAAGTGGAATACACCATCAACAGCCGACCATTGACCACCGTGTCTAGCGACCACAGAGACTTGAACCCGATCACACCAAACCAGCTCCTGCTGCTGCGCTCCGAACCGGTGATGCCTCCAGGTCATTTTAGCTCAACCGAAAATTACAGCAGACGAAGATGGAAACAAGTTCAACACCTCGCGTCAGAGTTTTGGAAGAGATGGAGAAAAGAGTATTTGCAAACACTTCAGCAGCGACGAAAATGGAACGATCGAAAACCGAATCTCCAGAGCGGAGATGTTGTCGTGATTGTCGAGAACGACACTCCGGAAACTTGTGGAAGCTGGGTCGCGTCACCAAAACCTTCCCTGACCTGAACGGACTAGTTAGAACTGTCGAACTGAAAACGCAAACGATGACAACGCGACGACCGGTAAACAAACTTGTTTTATTGGTACCAACCGAAGAAGCGATGGTCTCATACTGACTCGCGCGCGTGACTGGGGAGGGTGTAAGTGCACCGCGACTCGGTGGTGTCGAAAGAGTCAGCGCTCGAGAATAACCTCAACAATAAGAAGAATAAAATTTGAATACTACAAGGATTTTAAGTGAAGTTAATGAAGAAGTAGATATTTAGTTTAAGTTGCCTTTTTGTTTTATTTAAATTGTGTTACTTTAGCCCTGAAACCGTCAAAATTACTTTTAAACGAAGACGAAAGCCAGCAGACGGAAACAAGAAGACGAAGACACGAAGACGAAGACAGAAATAAAGAAGAAGAAATCGCGACTCGAAATACAAAAAGAACGAATAGAATACGACGACGACCATCGGCGATAAATAGTTGCCATTTCTCTTTAAGTTGGGCTTCAAGATCGGATATTCTCATTTCAATTTTATTGTTTGGTAAATGTCTCAGCGTAATATACGTCCAAGTCTCTTTCGTAAAAGCCTTTGATTTGGTTTCTTATAGGGGCACTGTACAGTCATGGTGCTGGGTTTGCAGTCTGTATAGAGATGATGCCTATGTGATGGAGATGATGGTTATGTATGACGACCGTTAGACGGCCTTATATATAATATATTCACTATGACTGGGCACTGGACCAGGCGCATCCAGTAATGATGTATCTTGTCTGCGTACCGGTATTTATCTGCCTGCCTGCCTGCCTGCCTGCCTGCCTGCCTGCCTGCCTGCCTGCCTGCCTGCCTGCCTGCCTGCCTGCCTGCCTGCCTGCCTGCCTGCCTGCCTGCCTGCCTGCCTGCCTGCCTGCCTGCCTGCCTGCCTGCCTGCCTGCCTGCCTGCCTGCCTGCCTGCCTGCCTGCCTGCCTGCCTGCCTGCCTGCCTGCCTGCCTGCCTGCCTGCCTGCCTGCCTGCCTGCCTGCCTGCCTGCCTGCCTGCCTGCCTGCCTGCCTGCCTGCCTGCCTGCCTGCCTGCCTGCCTGCCTGCCTGCCTGCCTGCCTGCCTGCCTGCCTGCCTGCCTGCCTGCCTGCCTGCCTGCCTGCCTGCCTGCCTGCCTGCCTGCCTGCCTGCCTGCCTGCCTGCCTGCCTGCCTGCCTGCCTGCCTGCCTGCCTGCCTGCCTGCCTGCCTGCCTGCCTGCCTGCCTGCCTGCCTGCCTGCCTGCCTGCCTGCCTGCCTGCCTGCCTGCCTGCCTGCCTGCCTGCCTGCCTGCCTGCCTGCCTGCCTGCCTGCCTGCCTGCCTGCCTGCCTGCCTGCCTGCCTGCCTGCCTGCCTGCCTGCCTGCCTGCCTGCCTGCCTGCCTGCCTGCCTGCCTGCCTGCCTGCCTGCCTGCCTGCCTGCCTGCCTGCCTGCCTGCCTGCCTGCCTGCCTGCCTGCCTGCCTGCCTGCCTGCCTGCCTGCCTGCCTGCCTGCCTGCCTGCCTGCCTGCCTGCCTGCCTGCCTGCCTGCCTGCCTGCCTGCCTGCCTGCCTGCCTGCCTGCCTGCCTGCCTGCCTGCCTGCCTGCCTGCCTGCCTGCCTGCCTGCCTGCCTGCCTGCCTGCCTGCCTGCCTGCCTGCCTGCCTGCCTGCCTGCCTGCCTGCCTGCCTGCCTGCCTGCCTGCCTGCCTGCCTGCCTGCCTGCCTGCCTGCCTGCCTGCCTGCCTGCCTGCCTGCCTGCCTGCCTGCCTGCCTGCCTGCCTGCCTGCCTGCCTGCCTGCCTGCCTGCCTGCCTGCCTGCCTGCCTGCCTGCCTGCCTGCCTGCCTGCCTGCCTGCCTGCCTGCCTGCCTGCCTGCCTGCCTGCCTGCCTGCCTGCCTGCCTGCCTGCCTGCCTGCCTGCCTGCCTGCCTGCCTGCCTGCCTGCCTGCCTGCCTGCCTGCCTGCCTGCCTGCCTGCCTGCCTGCCTGCCTGCCTGCCTGCCTGCCTGCCTGCCTGCCTGCCTGCCTGCCTGCCTGCCTGCCTGCCTGCCTGCCTGCCTGCCTGCCTGCCTGCCTGCCTGCCTGCCTGCCTGCCTGCCTGCCTGCCTGCCTGCCTGCCTGCCTGCCTGCCTGCCTGCCTGCCTGCCTGCCTGCCTGCCTGCCTGCCTGCCTGCCTGCCTGCCTGCCTGCCTGCCTGCCTGCCTGCCTGCCTGCCTGCCTGCCTGCCTGCCTGCCTGCCTGCCTGCCTGCCTGCCTGCCTGCCTGCCTGCCTGCCTGCCTGCCTGCCTGCCTGCCTGCCTGCCTGCCTGCCTGCCTGCCTGCCTGCCTGCCTGCCTGCCTGCCTGCCTGCCTGCCTGCCTGCCTGCCTGCCTGCCTGCCTGCCTGCCTGCCTGCCTGCCTGCCTGCCTGCCTGCCTGCCTGCCTGCCTGCCTGCCTGCCTGCCTGCCTGCCTGCCTGCCTGCCTGCCTGCCTGCCTGCCTGCCTGCCTGCCTGCCTGCCTGCCTGCCTGCCTGCCTGCCTGCCTGCCTGCCTGCCTGCCTGCCTGCCTGCCTGCCTGCCTGCCTGCCTGCCTGCCTGCCTGCTCTGCCTGTCTGCCTGTCTGCCTGCCTGCCTGCCTGCCTGCCTGCCTGTCTGCCTGTCTGCCTGTCTGCCTGTCTGCCTGTCTGCCTGTCTGCCTGTCTGCCTGTCTGCCTGTCTGCCTGTCTGCCTGTCTGCCTGTCTGCCTGTCTGCCTGTCTGCCTGTCTGCCTGTCTGCCTGTCTGCCTGTCTGCCTGTCTGCCTGTCTGCCTGTCTGCCTGTCTGCCTGTCTGCCTGTCTGCCTGTCTGCCTGTCTGCCTGTCTGCCTGTCTGCCTGTCTGCCTGTCTGCCTGTCTGCCTGTCTGCCTGTCTGCCTGTCTGCCTGTCTGCCTGTCTGCCTGTCTGCCTGTCTGCCTGTCTGCCTGTCTGCCTGTCTGCCTGTCTGCCTGTCTGCCTGTCTGCCTGTCTGCCTGTCTGCCTGTCTGCCTGTCTGCCTGTCTGCCTGTCTGCCTGTCTGCCTGTCTGCCTGTCTGCCTGTCTGCCTGTCTGCCTGTCTGCCTGTCTGCCTGTCTGCCTGTCTGCCTGTCTGCCTGTCTGCCTGTCTGCCTGTCTGCCTGTCTGCCTGTCTGCCTGTCTGCCTGTCTGCCTGTCTGCCTGTCTGCCTGTCTGCCTGTCTGCCTGTCTGCCTGTCTGCCTGTCTGCCTGTCTGCCTGTCTGCCTGTCTGCCTGTCTGCCTGTCTGCCTGTCTGCCTGTCTGCCTGTCTGCCTGTCTGCCTGTCTGCCTGTCTGCCTGTCTGCCTGTCTGCCTGTCTGCCTGTCTGCCTGTCTGCCTGTCTGCCTGTCTGCCTGTCTGCCTGTCTGCCTGTCTGCCTGTCTGCCTGTCTGCCTGTCTGCCTGTCTGCCTGTCTGCCTGTCTGCCTGTCTGCCTGTCTGCCTGTCTGCCTGTCTGCCTGTCTGCCTGTCTGCCTGTCTGCCTGTCTGCCTGTCTGCCTGTCTGCCTGTCTGCCTGTCTGCCTGTCTGCCTGTCTGCCTGTCTGCCTGTCTGCCTGTCTGCCTGTCTGCCTGTCTGCCTGTCTGCCTGTCTGCCTGTCTGCCTGTCTGCCTGTCTGCCTGTCTGCCTGTCTGCCTGTCTGCCTGTCTGCCTGTCTGCCTGTCTGCCTGTCTGCCTGTCTGCCTGTCTGCCTGTCTGCCTGTCTGCCTGTCTGCCTGTCTGCCTGTCTGCCTGTCTGCCTGTCTGCCTGTCTGCCTGTCTGCCTGTCTGCCTGTCTGCCTGTCTGCCTGTCTGCCTGTCTGCCTGTCTGCCTGTCTGCCTGTCTGCCTGTCTGCCTGTCTGCCTGTCTGCCTGTCTGCCTGTCTGCCTGTCTGCCTGTCTGCCTGTCTGCCTGTCTGCCTGTCTGCCTGTCTGCCTGTCTGCCTGTCTGCCTGTCTGCCTGTCTGCCTGTCTGCCTGTCTGCCTGTCTGCCTGTCTGCCTGTCTGCCTGTCTGCCTGTCTGCCTGTCTGCCTGTCTGCCTGTCTGCCTGTCTGCCTGTCTGCCTGTCTGCCTGTCTGCCTGTCTGCCTGTCTGCCTGTCTGCCTGTCTGCCTGTCTGCCTGTCTGCCTGTCTGTCGGTATATTTGCCCCTCTGCGGTCCCCCTTGCCTCCCCTGCCCTGGCACCAAACCCACCACAACTCCAAGACAAGAGCTGGCGACCAGCCATGGCTCAAATCACTGGCCTTCTCAGAAAACCATTGGCACGCTTTAACACGCTGAGTCGCTTCTTTTACATTCATTTTAAAAGTATATGCAGAGGTAGGTAGTGCTTTTGTCAAAGCCGCCTTTAACCCTATTCCTGGCGGGGGGGGGGGCCTCAGGAGCCCCCCCCCTGAGGTTTTTTGGTTATTTCTCCCAAACGCGTTGAGCTAGGAAGCTCAAATTTTCTGACTTTTCCTAAAAGGCTTCTACGCAACATGTCTGAAAATTTTGAGCTGATCTGACCTCAGGTCAGGTCACCAGAGGCGGTTTGGTGACCCTACCTCAGAAAAGTTTGCAATCACGCCAGAGCTAGAGTTTTTGACCGATCAATTTCTTCTCTTCAGGGTTTAGTTAGGGTACCAGTATGTGCAATTTGTATATCTCGGAATTTTGATATCGGTGACCTAAGGTCAGGTCAATTTCGCGACCTCCCCATTATAAGTCAATGGGGGAAAAATCAACTCCCTGTTTTTACCACTAAAACGGGTCGGAATGGCCCCATATACCATACATGACTTCATATACGATCAACCTTCACTACCTTGAGGTCTGTTTTGCTGTTGGGCAGCTTTGAGGTCATATGACGTCATCAAAGGTCACCAAAGGTTTTTGGCCAATAACTCCGTACAGGAACAAGATACAGACGCGTGGATGGTCTCATTGTGTTCAGCTCGTCAAGACGCATCGAATGATATACATGATGACCTCGAGGTCACGTGACCTGAGGTCAACCTTTGACCTTGACCTTTCGAGGTCAACATATATATCATTCGATGCGGATTGACGAGAGGATCACGATGATGCCCTTAGTTTGTTCCTATCTTGACTAATTCGAAAGTTATTCGAGAAAAACTCTCTCCATATCTAGCGCCGCCATTTTGACTTTTTCGACCCCTGTGACGTCATCTTTGACCTGACCTGAAAATGACCTGAGTAAAAATTGTAGATCTTGGCCGTGCGTATCCGATGCCGTTTACCGCTTGTCGCTATCTTGCTTCGTTCTCGAGATCTCAGGGGGGGGGGGCGAATCGGCCCCCCCCCCGCCAGTTTCTTGTCCCGGCGGAGCCCGCCAGGAATAGGGTTAAATTGGCATTTAATTCAAGCAAATATCAAAACATTGCTGATGGGCATTTAGAAGTCGGTAAGCACACGACGTGATAGGAGCAGCGGCAAAAGCTTACATAACTAGTTTCTTCCCAATGCTAGATCCATTCGAATGCCAACTGAGGTGCCTACATACACATTCAGACTTAATCCGATCTTAGGTTACTTAAACTGCACCTATGATAATCAAACCTTGGATTATTTTGATCCTCACATTTCTATATCAGTAGATCTGCTCCA